AGGAGGTAAGTGTTGCCTGTCTTTAGTGAACATTTCTGTATAGAACACAGTCAGTACATCACTGTGGCTCTGTATAGTGGACAGTCAGCATATCAAGTTGATACAGGAGGTAAATGTTGCCTGGCTTTAGTGAACATTTCTGTATAATCAGTACCAGGCATTCTCTACAAACATTGAATGGACCACTTACAATAAGATAAAACCTATTTCTCAAATTCTATTCCTAAACATCAGATTTCTAAAGAACACAAGTTTTCTGGGTCATTAATATGAACTTAAACTAATGGGGAATTTTAAATTTACTTAGATTTTTGGTAACATACCTTCTTGTATTATTTTTCTACATCACATGCAGCTGGCTATGAAAAACACCAACAATTTTCAGACGAACTACCACAATTTACGCCAGTTGGTGTTTGATCTGGACATAAAAGGAGAGAAGGGAAAACTAAACAGGTGAGTAAGTTCCTAAGAAGTATCACTATCTAACGTTATATTTTTTCTGATACAACAGATAAAAATAGAGAAAATGTCTTTTAAAGTTGGTGTTTTCAACTAATGAACTGAAGTTAATTATGGAAAGAAAAAAATGATAATAAATTTGAAAGGTATGTAAGAAAATAATCTTAAGATAAATGGAACAATTAAATATTAAATAATGACGATAAAAAGTTTTCTAAAATGAGATCTCTCTACCACAAATCATACCCTTTAGGTATAGTATATGAGGTAGCATATAACTATATTTTCTAAACATAAGTTTTAAAATCCTGTTATCTTTGTTGAGTTTGGACTCTAATAAGCTAGTAACTTGAATTTGACTCCTATTGTTCAGGGGCAACTTGTGTTCATGTAACCGTATAATTATATTGCTAAAACAATCCTTGGTAAAACATGTAGCTTTTCCACCTCTGGAATACAGGACTAATTAGCTTGTGTTGCTATGTATTGAGGGTTTATTTTTACTTTATCTAATCTAAAGAACACTTGGCTGGTGTCCATGCATAGAATTATCATGACCCTGGTATAGTATATATGACGAGACATATTGTAGTGATTCTCAATTTTGCCAATTTTAACCAAATATAAACATGATACTCTCATTGTTCTTACTAAGCATTTTTATCTCCAGTCTTTGGGTAAATGAGAAATTGGATATGGCCACAATGGTCTTAAGTTGGCAGAACCATTTAAACTTCAATTCCTATCTGAACTATTCAGATTACAAAAGAAATATGTGAAACAGGTTCAATATTCATAACAGCAAGTAAAGGATGATAATAATGCTCAAATAAAGAGCAGTGGGAACTCGACTGTTACCAAACCATTGTATATTTTTAGCTCACCTGGTCCTTCGAGGCTATGTGAGCTTATGCTGTACTGTGGCATCCGTCGTCGGTCCATCCGTCCGTCAACTTTTTCTTTGAGTGACTTCTTCTGAAGAACTTGAGGGCCTAGGGTTATGATATTTAGCCAGTAGGTACCTGGGATAAAGTGCTTTAAATTTTCATCATTAAAATGACCTTGACCTACTTTCAAGGTCACAGAGTTCAGATATGTTAAAAACTTTAACAATCTTCTTCTCAAGTTCCATAAGGCCCAGGGTCATAATATTTTGCCACTAGGTACCTGGGATGGAGTGCTATAGAGTTTCCTCATTAAAATGACCTTGACCTATTTTCAAGGTCACAGGGGTCAAATATGTTAAAAACTTTAACAATCTTCTGAAGTTCCATAAGGTCCAGGGTCATAATATTTTGCCAGTAGGTACCTGGGATTGAGTGCTATAAAGTTTCCTCATTAAAATGACTTTGACCTACTTTCAAGGTCACAGCGGTCAAATATGTTAAACGCTTCAAACCACTTCTCCTGAAGAACTTTTGCCAGTAGGTACTTGGGATAAAGTGCTATAAAGTTTCCTCATTAAAATGACCTTGACCTAGTTTCAAGGTCACAGGGTTCAAATATGTATAAAACTTTAACAATCTTCTTCTCAAGTTCCATAAGGCCCAGGGTCATAATATTTTGCCACTAGGTACCTGGGATGGAGTGCTATAGAGTTTCCTCATTAAAATGACCTTGACCTATTTTCAAGGTCACAGGGGTC